TGTGTTCATTATCAGTGTATAGATACTCAGTATCATTATACAGAGCGGTGTGTTCAGTATCAGTGTATAGATACTCAGTATTATTATCCGTATTATTATACAGAGCGGTGTGTTCAGTATCAGTTTATAGATACTCAGTATTATTATACAGAGCGGTGTGTTCATTATCAGCATATAGATACTCAGTATTATTATACAGAGCGGTGTGTTCATTATCAGTGTATAGATACTCAGTATTATTATACAGAGCGCTGTGTTCATTATCAGCGTATAGATACTCAGTATCATTATACAGAGCGGTGTGTTCATTATCAGTGTATAGATACTCAGTATCGTTATACAGAGCGGTGTGTTCATTATCAGTGTATAGATACTCAGTATTATTATACAGAGCGGTGTGTTCATTATCAGTGTATAGATACTCAGTATCATTATACAGAGCGGTGTGTTCATTATCAGTGTATAGATACTCAGTATCTTTATACAGAGCGGTGTGTTCATTATCAGTGTATAGCTACTCAGTATCATTATACAGAGCGGTGTGTTCATTATCAGCGTATAGATACTCAGTTTTATTATACAGAGCGGTGTGTTCATTATCAGTGTATTGATACTCAGTATCATTATACAGAGCGCTGTGTTCAGTATCAGTGTATAGATACTCATTATTATTACACAGAGCAGGGTGTTCATTATCAGTGTATAGATACTCAGTATCATTATACAGAGCAGGGTGTTCATTATCAGTGTATAGATACTCAGTATCATTATACAGCATGGCATGTTCGTTATCAGCATATAGATATAGATATTATGATACAGAGTAGTATGTTCATAATCCGTGTTCATGTGTATCCATCCCCCTGCTCCCCACCAATTTAAAGGATCACTGTAGGCACCCAGACCACTTCAGCTTAATGAAGTGGTCTGGGTGCCTGTTCCAGCTAGGATTAACCCTTTCTTCTATAAACATAGCAGTTTCATAGAAACTGCTATGTTTATAATAGGGTTAATCCAGCCTCTAGTGGCTGTCTCATTGACAGCCGCTAGAGGCGCTTCCGCGCTTCTCACTGTGAATTTCACAGTGAGAAGATGCCAGCATCCATAGGAAAGCATTGAGAATGCTTTCCTATGAGACTGGCTGAATGCGCGCACGGATCTTGCCGTGCATGCGCATTCAGCCAGGGACATCAGAAGAGGGAGGAGAGGAGAGTCCCCCGCCGGAAAAAGAGGTAAATTTAACCCCTTCCACCCCCTAGAGCCCGGCGGGAGGGGGACCCTGAGGGTGGGGGCACCCTCAGGGCACTATGGTGCCAGGAAAACAAGTATGTTTTCCTCGCACTATAGGGGTCCTTTAATCATTCCCCTTTTCTTCTCCAGTATATTCCAGTATACCAGTGTATCCATCTACCTGGTTAAAGATGCTTAATAATCCTATAAAACCAGTTTTTCCTATCTTATAGGCAACATGTCCATTCAGAAGATCCACGCCAGGGAGATCCTGGATTCCAGGGGAAACCCTACAGTAGAGGTTGACCTGTACACAGGCAAAGGTGGGTCAATGTCCAGCTGGTAACACATAGACTGGAATTCTCAGTGTCTTGATGTGACACATATGTTTTGCTTCCAGGTCTCTTCCGGGCGGCTGTGCCCAGTGGGGCGTCCACTGGAATATATGAGGCTCTTGAGCTGAGGGATGGAGACAAGAGCCGATATTTGGGCAAAGGTGAGACAATTGTATGGAGCCGAATGTTTGGTAGCATAACTGTGTGATCTGATAGAGGTTTGTTATACAAGAGATGGCTTGTTTTGGAAGTCCATATTATGAGATGTGAGCCAATGTGGTCTCCAAGGAAGAGGGATCAGACTCTTGTCAATATTCAAATAGCATATCGTAAGGTTTTCTTTGTAGACAGATCATAATACGATGATATGATGAAGAAACACAGGGACAGGGGGAAAGGGTCATTCGATGTCTGAGATTCCTGAATTGCCTTATAACTGGGAAGTCCCAACACTGGTGGAACAAGGATCTCTGTCAGGGGCGAGCAGGTTCAGCATAAAACTATCTAACTGAAAATGAAACGTTTCAGGATTTGGGGTAAATGGTACAATGATGGGAGAAATTTGTAAGTCATGACCTGTGAGTCACTGGAACTAGAACAGTACTAGATAACATATTTTGGGCTATTAGCAGTAAGAGGAGAGTTGAGGTTGGTTTCTCTAGCTTGGCTGGACCACATTCCACATTCCCGAGGCTCAGAGGTGGAGCTGATCCCTCTAGTTTCTCTGCGTAACTTGCTTAAGCATGTTCTGGGCCCATGAAACGTGAGGGAATATTTTGAACAAATCACCTTTCTAGTGTAAAAATGGGATATAATAGAGTGGCAATATGATACAACAAAATGCCCATATTTTGTACATGGAACATGTGGTTATAATTTTTTTCAAATTCTTAAATATTTTATGTGTGAGCTGAGCCATACTTGTGTATCATGATTAAACTGTGGCTTTCAAGGTAACATCAATGACATAATTCACCATCATGATGTACAAACACAACTCTCAATACCTCGAGGATGTCAGCGTTATGACACTTTGACATAATAATATATGTCATCACCTGCCAGATAGTGTGACAGGTGTGGCCCAGGGTCCACATAGAGGCCAATGTTCAGGTAAGGGTGGTCCTCTGAAGGCCCTAGAATCTTGGTTATATTGTATTTTCAGAGATGAAACTGCTATTCTGACCTGTCGTTATTTTAAACTGGCATTGGGATTGCACCATAGTTTTGTCAAGCAACTCTTGTTAGACCGGGGAGGTTAAATGTGGTTCACCTAGTGACAGACAGATTCAGGGTTATATCTGTGAATCTCTTGGACTTTAACTGATGACACTCTGAAGTTCTGGTCTAACGCTCTGCAATCTGCCATGTCTCATAGGTGTTCTGAAGGCTGTGGATCACATCAACAAGACCATTGTACCGGCTTTGCTGGAGAAGGTATGAGGATCGATGAAGGTATAATAATATAAATAGTGGTGAGTTAATAAATAAATGTCTGACTTCTGCTCTATCGTTTTAGAAACTTAGTGTTGTGGAACAAGAAAAGATTGACAAAGTGATGCTGGAACTTGATGGGACAGAAAATAAGTGTAAGTAGCAGAGCGGGATACAGTCATGAATTGAAGAGAGGTGTAATACTGCATTTGTTGCTGTTGATGTATCTCTGCAGAAAAATTCACACTGATACATTGTCCTCCTGCAGCTAAATTTGGTGCTAATGCCATCCTGGGTGTTTCTCTGGCCGTGTGCAAGGCTGGTGCAGCAGAGAAAGGTGTCCCCTTGTACCGTCACATCGCTGACCTGGCCGGAAACCCTGACCTCATCCTTCCCGTCCCTGTGAGCAGTGCTTTAAATATACCTAGATTATCCTATAACGCAGTGTTTCCCAACCCAGTCCTCAAGGCACACATACCAGTCCAGGATTTAGGGATTACCCAGTTGTGTCTAAGGTGTTTTTACAAAGAAGAAAAAAAACACCTTAGACACAACTGGGTAATCCCTAAATCCTGGACTGGTAGGTGTGCCTTGAGGACTGGGTTGGGAAACACTGCTATAACGGTGCCATGTCCTTCCTCGACTCTTTCTGTTACTGTCCCTCCTCTGTTACTGTCCCTTCTCTTCATTCTATCACTATTCCCTCACCTCCCTATATTTTATTTATTTATAAAATATTTTATTTATAAAATATTTTACCAGGAAAGATACATTGAGATTTCTCTCGTTTTCAAGTATGTCCTGGGTCCACAAATCATTGCATTGTTACATTAGGTACAACAAAATACAAAAACAATATTAATACACAATATATACAAAAATTTAACATAGAACAGGCAGGAAATATATAATCAACCATGACACGTGCATTCTGTTTTGAGGTATGTAGAGAGGGATCTCTTAAAAGACTTTAGGCTTAGGGAAGATTTTAAATTGTGCGGGAGGTCGTTCCACAATTGCGGTGCTCTGTAGGAGAAGGAGGATCGGGCCGCTTTCTTTTTGTATTGAGGTAGACTAAGTAAAGTGCTTGTACTGGATCGGAGGTTATAGAAAGTGGGAACAGCTGGGGAAAGCATTTTGTTCAGGTAGGGTGTGAGTTTCCCAGAAAAGCTCTTAAAAACAAGGCTGGAAAGATGAAGGGTGCGTCTGGATTCCAGCGACAGCCAGTTTAGTTCCTTTAGCATGTCACAATGATGGGTCCTGTAATTACATTGTAGCACAAATCTGCTATTCATTCTGTCATTGTTCTCCTCTCCCCGTATTCATTCTGTCACTATTTTCTCTCCTTTCTTTTTTTTATTCTGTCACTGTTCCTTCTCCTTTGCTCCTAGTATTGTCTCCTATGTTAACATCTTCACGGCCTTTGTCTCTCACCAGGCCTTTAATGTCATCAACGGGGGTTCACACGCAGGGAATAAGCTGGCCATGCAGGAGTTCATGATCCTTCCCGTGGGGGCCTCTACTTTCCGGGAGGCAATGCGTATTGGAGCAGAGGTCTACCACAACCTGAAAAATGTCATAAAGGCCAAATATGGAAAGGATGCCACCAATGTCGGTGATGAAGGTGGATTCGCTCCCAACATTCTGGAGAACAATGAAGGTAAGGAGGCCACTGTGAGAGAATACTAATAATATAAACATGGACTAAATAAATAATAAATGGTGTAACATCAAGTGCGCAGATGGATGAATGTTGACTAAATAAAGGAATATTACCTGCTGTACAGGTAAATTAATATATATAAAAAGGGAAAAGTGAAACCTATCTTGACCTAAGGTTGCTCTGCTGCTGCTGCTACCTCACACATGCCTCTTTTTGTAAAATAAGTCGGCAATGAATAATAACTACTATAAAACACTGATCTACAGCCTTGGAGCTACTTAAATCAGCTATCGAGAAAGCTGGCTACACTGATAAGATTGTCATTGGTATGGACGTGGCTGCTTCAGAATTCTACCGCAATGGCAAATACGACCTTGACTTCAAATCCCCGGATGACCCAACTCGTTACATCTCAGGAGAGAAATTGGGAGATCTGTATAAGAGCTTCATTAAGTCATACCCAGGTATGTTGTTCATGGTACTCATAGAGTGATGTTGAGCGAGAGAGACAGACGGAGGGTGTCCCTCCCATACAGTACTTTATTATGATGGTGTTTCCCCTTTCAGTGGTCTCCATTGAAGATCCATTTGACCAGGACGACTGGGAAACTTGGAAGAGTTTCCAGAGCACAGTTGATATCCAGATAGTTGGAGATGATTTAACTGTCACCAATCCCAAGAGAATCCAGCAGGCTGTGGAAAAGAAAGCATGTAATTGTCTGCTCCTGAAAGTCAACCAGATTGGCTCAGTCACCGAGTCCATCCAGGCGTAAGTACAATATCTGGACCTTGGTCACCCTGTGTCAACTCCAATAAGGAAGCTGTATTCAAGGCTGTGCATAACTGGATGTATTGATTAGAAATTAGTCCCTTTTTCACTTTTAACTCACTTGATCTGCTGTCGCTGGTGATGTCTCTAGTGCACTAACCCCTACTTCCCCATTGGCTGTGCTCTTTGGCAGAATGAATCTTTCTCTGTGTACAAGGGGCAATTGAATAACTGCCTCCTGCCAGCCATCGTAGAGTTAGTTACCCATATGGACATTAATCTCATGGTTCGGTCACCACAATGAATTGTTACAGAGGGAAAAATAGATATATTATTTACAAAAAGTACTCTTGGTATAGACAGCACAATGCTGCCACACTTCTAATTATCTTCGGTTGTTTTGAGCATGTTTCCTAGTCAGTACCCAAGTGCCCATTGTTCAGGATTACCCAGTAGTAATACTCTCTTTTGGAGTATTGTCGAGTACCGCCAATAGCTATGCAGTGAATGTTCACACAATCAGTAATGTATATAAAACGGAAGATGGATTCCACCTGGAACTATTGGTGCCACTGTTAGGCACGTTATAAAAGTGGATATAAATTGTACATCTAGTGATACCGAGTATCTCTGCAGGTGTAAATTGGCTCAGTCCAATGGATGGGGGGTTATGGTGAGTCATCGTTCTGGAGAGACTGAAGACACATTTATTGCCGACCTGGTGGTGGGACTGTGTACTGGACAGGTAAGAAAGGAGCAATGATGGAAATAAATGGGAAAAAGGAACTGATTGACAAACTGGGAACAAACAATAGGAGGGAGGATAGCTACAAACAGAAAGGACAGCAAGGTTCGAAAGGATAGGAGACAATAGTGAAGGAGTAAGAGAGGTGGTAGAGTGGTGAAGAGTGAATGAAGGATGATTTACAGAATAACCTAATATATATAGGCAGCATCTGGTTATGAGTGCCGGGGGAATGAAGGATCATGTGAATGCGTGCGTTGGGAAGACATGATACATTGGAATGATAAAGACTAAGCTCACCACTCCGTTCTCTTCACACATGTTATTTCTCTTCTGGACAGATTAAGACAGGAGCTCCATGTCGGTCAGAGAGACTTTCTAAATACAACCAGCTCATGAGGTAAGAATATCTAGTGTCTGAACAACTTCACTACAGCAAGGTGTGCATCCTACATACACTACACCATGCCATTCATAAACACACAGATACAGTGTCGATAGCAACACACTGCTACACCATGCCATGCATACATAGATACAGTGCAGACAGCAACACACTGCTGCACAATGCCATGCATACACAGATACAGTGCAGACAGCAATACAACAAACCTAACACACTGCTACATCATACCAGGTACATACAGCATTAGTGCCAGCCTCTCCTGACATACATTGTACCAGACTCACCACTTCCTTTCCTCCCGCAGGATTGAAGAGGAGCTCGGAGATAAGGCTAAGTTTGCTGGTCGTAGCTTCAGAAACCCCCGTGCCAAGTAAACGCTGGCAGCAGCACCACATCGAAGCTATGTCTATTCTAACTGAAGCCCAGAATCCTTTGCAATGCTCTTGCCAACATTTAAAGAAGTCCATTCCTGCAGTACTGTGCACACCATCTGATTAAAGGATTTACCTGCCAGGGCTCGATAACGTAGCCTTAAATTGCACAACGTCAAATGTTTGTAAGAATCCTATAAATATATATGTCACAACTGAACCCCAAGTTAATTTTGGAATCAACTGTAAAGAATTAAATCCTACAAATAACCCTTTCTATTGGTGTCTGGAATTTGTTCTCAGTAATATAGTCATGCGCAAACTATAAAACACAACAACGACAACACAGGAGACAAGAGCTTGCAGATTTAGACTTTAGGCTGGCCGAGCGTGATGGGGTATGGCAATACATGTCTGTATTTATATTTGTTTTAATTGCTCAGGAACACACATACATTAGATAGCAAACATATATAGATATATTATAAAAGGTGGAATGTCCACAACCAGGGGGAGGCATTATTTCCTGAACTATTCTTTTCGATCAGGTGGGTTTTAGTTATACTAGTCTGGGTAAAGTTAGTGTTAGAGCTAGGGTAAGATGTTAGATTTGGGCTACAGTAGGGTTAGTGTTAGGGCAGCAATGAGCTTTGCCTGTGATTTTTATTAGTTCGATACCTTCCTGAAGGCAATATATTAAGGAGTTTACTGACACGCAGTTTTCAGAACGGTCTACTGGGAAAAAAAGCCTGAAGGGATTGATTTTACTCACCAGAACGAATACAATAAGCTGCAGTTGTTCTGGTGACTATAGTAACATATTCCACTGTGTTGTACAATACATAACAAGAAACATTTAATGGCAACAAACTATGTTTGAACAGTATGTGGAGTGGGCCCTGCCCAGGCGAACTAACACCTTGAAGGTGATTAGGGTTGACATTCTGTAGGACCTGGCGGCAGCGGCGGGGGGGGAGGTGTGTGTTTGTATATATATATATATATATATATATCTCACACACACCTCCAATTTTGTAATAGGGAGGGAAAACCCCAAACCTACAAACCTGTTGTAGAGAAAATGTTGTGCTTAATCTATCGCTCTTCATTCTAATTACAGTATACTCTCACAATGACTTGTACACTTGGAGCATGTGCTCCTGGAGAAAAACACAACTCAATATTGCAGAAAGCTAGACACCAAAACAAGATAGCTGGCAGGCCATGTGACCTATAACCTTTATGCAGGGCCGGTGCAAGGATTTCTGCCGCCCTAGGCAAAAGAAAGATTTGCCCCTCTAATCTTCTCCCCACCTCCCTGTAATCTTCTCTACTTCCCCCCTCCCTGTAATCTTCTCTACTTCCCCTCTCCCCCCCTGTAATCTTCTCCCCCTCCTCCCTGTAATCTTCTCCACTCCCCCACTGTAATCTTCTCCACTCCCCCCCTGTAATCTTCTCTACTTACCCCCTCCCTTTAATCTTCTCCACTCCCCCCCTCCCTTTAATCTTCTCCACTCCCCCCCTCCCTTTAATCTTCTCCACTTCCCCCCTGTAATCTTCTCCCCCTCCCCCCTCCCTGTAATCTTCTCCACGGGGGGAGAAGAAGAGAACACGGGGGAGACAAGAACACAGGGAGGGGGGGATTGAGGAGAACATGGGGGAGAGAGAGACCACTAAAGGAGGGAGGGGGTGGTGTAGAGACCACTAGGGGAGGGGGGGTGAGGAGAGACCACTAATGGAAAGGGGGGCAGAGTAGAGCAGAGACCACTAAGGGGGAGACGGGAGACCACTAATGGAAAGTCGGGGAGAAAAGACCACTAAGGGAGGTAGGGGAGAGACCTCTATGGGATGGAAGGGAGAGCTCTATAGGACAGAGGGCAGGACAGGGAGCTCTTTCAAACTAAACGCGCACACACACACAGTGCATCCCTATACACACAAACACAACATGCTTCCCTTACACACAGAAATACACAATGCATCCATTACACACACAAACACACACTGCAACCCTTGCACATATACACAGAAACACACAATGCATCCGTTACACACACATGCAAACACACACGGCTTCTCTTGCACACACAGAAACACAATGCATCTCTTACACACACTCAACGCACAAACACATGCATACAAAACACAACGCATCCCTTATACACAAACACACACTGCTTTCTATCCCTTACTCAAAAACACACTGCTTCACCTACACAAACTGGTATCCCTATACACTACATTCCATAAGCACACACATTAGGACACTAATCTCTAATTTACCTCACATTAAAGGGACCTATATAGACACCATTTATTTATTAAGCTGCAGTGGTTCTGGGGACTAGTTTGTCCCTGCATGCTTTTTAATGTAAACACACACTGTGTGCAGTACTGGCGTTAGTTCATATGGCAGATCATATGGGTGGGGCATGTCGATGTCACTGTGGGTGGGTGGGAGGGGCAGCACCTTGCACCGGCCCTGATTTCAAGACAAATAAAATGAACAAAAGCAATGTGGTGCCCTGAAAGTTCATTGCTTTACCTCCTAACCCTGCACGATTAGATCCTTACACACTGAGGGAGGGAGACAGACACCTTCATCCTGTGTTTGCTGCCACCATACTGCCTTGCATTCCAATGTAGGACCTGCACAGACAGAATCTAGTGTGGGTGCCATTTGCAGTATGCGTACCATATCACAATAATGTAGGACCCGCACGGACAGAATCTACCGTGGGTGCCATTTGCAGTATGCGTACCATATCACAATAATGTAGGACCCGCACGGACAGAATCTACCGTGGGTGCCATTTGCAGTATGCGTACCATATCACAATAATGTAGGACCCGCACGGACAGAATCTACCGTGGGTGCCATTTGCAGTATGCGTACCATATCACAATAATGTAGGACCTGCACAGACAGAATCTAGTGTGGGTGCCATTTGCAGTATGCGTACCATATCACAATAATGTAGGACCCGCACGGACAGAATCTACCGTGGGTGCCATTTGCAGTATGCGTACCATATCACAATAATGTAGGACCCGCACAGACAGAATCTACCGTGGGTGCCATTTGCAGTATGCGTACCATATCACAATAATGTATGTTATGGGGTCCTTGCATCCATCACCAGGGCTTCAATGTGGATAACGGCAATGGACAGGAAAAGCAAAGTTAGTGTGTTACGTGTGTCCACATCGCAGCAGCTAGTTAACACAACCCATCTGATTCTTAATGCTCCTCTTATATGGATCAAGGCAGCCTAACGTGTATAGAAATCATGGGAGGTTATGTAAGTTTGCACAATTTTATTCATCTTATCAAAAAAAATATTTAAAAGGAGATTACAGAGTATATCTACTGCACCCTTCAAAGAATCCATGCGTTCATAGAGGCCTTCCTTCATTCCTGCTGCATGGAAGGAGAACACCTATCCCTGGTAGAGACATTTTGGTAAATCGAAGTGGGGGTTTAATTGTTGTATTGGTATACAAACCATGTACCAAATTAATAGCAGGAACACTCTTCAAGCAACACACAACTTTCCAAAAGCCAGCCACCATGCAGATATAGGACTTTGAAAGGTAAAAGGTAGTTTACTCCAACAAGAATATTTTTATCCAGTGGTACGTCTTCATATACAACACACAATACTGTATCGCTTAATATACTTTTAATTTGTGTAACTCTTAAAAAGCACAGTTTTATTTCACAATTGAATATTGTTCGTTTCAATTAAAAGGAAGATTATGAATACTAAAATAAAGCAAATGGACACTGTATGAAAGACTGGGGAAAATAAAAAAAAAATTTAAAATACAAACTCGCCACCCGAAATAAATGTTGCTTTTTATACAATACAATTCTCAATGAAAAATTATTAACCCTTAAACCCCCAATGAATCTGGAAAGGGTGGGACTATTCACTTACAGCAGGTAGACCGGACTCGAAAGCCAAGTAGGTTCAAGTGACTCAAGTTTAAAGATGGCCAGACTGTTACAATTTGAGGGACTCGTGGACCTCCTGGAATAGGTGCAACATGTCAGGCTAATCATACTTTCCCCCCCACCAGCTATACAGGCACACCACATTTTGGCTACCTTGGCCTAAAATTTAAATTCTCACTTTAGTAAAAATTACCCCAACTGTGCCTTGAGGACTGAGCTGGGACATAGCACAGGACTGGAGAACTATGTAAAAGACTATTTGGATCAAGAGTGATGACATTGTATCTCAGAGCAGATACCTGGTGTCCAAACTAACGATGGATTAGGCAGAGAAGAATGGCTCAGGAAAGATGCACTCCATCCACGAGTTAAACAATCACATGAAATGAATGGCAAAGGGGATTATTCAAACTTTGCCAAAAAGGAATAGTTACTGCCATAAAAACAAAACATTTAAACATTAGATATGTGATAAATTGTTAAATTGCCATGCGCTCCCCACTCATCGACAGGCCTTCCAATTACAGCTTCTCATCATGGATTTCTCTTCACATTATCCACGTAAATAGGACAGAAATAAAAATTGCTTAAATACTCTTCACAAAAATCTGAAAGTTTAGGAAACTAGACGAATGCCAAGCGGAACCCTGCACTCATCCATAGTAGTTCATGTCTGTCTCAGGAGGAGCGCCGATTTAAAACAGAACTTTAAAAGCAATGCCACCAGCTCACTTCCAAAGGACATTTCTAGACAGACCAGAGGTGACTATCCTTTGTCCACCTGACTCCATACCAATGCATGGACTTACAGTGGCACAATCTTTCCATCGGTCTTACAGAAAGCTGACCTCCAGTGGACATGGTGTTAAACAAAGTCAAAAAAAAAAAAAAACACAAGTGTAATAATTTAAAAACATATGACCACTACAAATGAAAATGGTGTCCTTATCCTCTGGGATTAGTGTGACCATTTAGGGTTCAGCTGAAGTGTCTTGTTAATATTTAGGAATTTCCTAAAGCTGTATCCCCATCCTCTGCTTTCAAGCGTTTTTTGGCACGGATCTCATTCATGGCCTCCTCAATGGAGCGTGTATCCCGCTTATTGGCTACGGGAACTGTATATGGGAGAAACAAGAGAGACTAAGTTAGTGTTGGGTAGAATTGAAAAAAAAAAAAAAAGCTTAGAGTGGTCCTATAAAGCTACGACCTCACAATCTAAGAGATATCAGGATCTTACCGCAGCCATACGCCTTGTTAGCCTGTAACGTGTGTGCTGCATCCTTAGCAGCAATCTTTCCAATCAGGTGGCTATATTTATCTTTGTAATCTGTGTTGGGGTTAATGCTGGACGGGGCCCTCATTGCATCTTCTTCAGCCTCTTTCTGTGCCTGCTCCTGTTTAGGGGAAAAATATATTTACACAAAAATACCACCTGTACACAATCTGCCTGTTACTTTAATAGAGTCCCATACTACAGGAAGAGATCAAAGGGTTCTGAAAGTGTCATTAATTCTTGGTCTCTGTTCAGATTTATTAAGGGCTAAAAGGTGTTGGCTTTTTGCTGCCTGAATCCCACACACGGTAACAAGTGAAAATACTTTTCTGGTAAAAAAAAAATAAAAATAAAAGAGAAATTTGATAAATAGATCTTGTTTAAAAAAAAAAAAAAAAAAAAAAAAACCACACACACACCAAAAAGAAGCAAGACTTACATTTAAATAAGTCTCCCCCATAGGTGTGCGCAGCCTATTGCATTAGGGTGTGCACCCTAAAGCACAGGCCGCATATGTGTGTGTGTATATATATATATATATATATATATATATATACACACACATACACACACATATACACACACACACTGCTGTGTGTGTGTGTGTTGTGTGAGGGTGCTGTTAGTGTGATGTGTGTGACGATGCTGGTAGTGTGCTATGTTGGTGAGGGTGTTTGTGTGTGCGTGCTTGTGAGGATGCTGATAATGTACTGTGTGTGAGGATGCTGTTAATGTACTGTTTGTTAGGGTCCTGTTTGTGTTTGTGAGGGTACTGTTAGTGTGCGGTGTGTGTGTGTTTGTGTGAGGGTACTGTTAGTGTGCGGTGTGTGTGTGTTTGTGTGAGGGTACTGTTAGTGTGCGGTGTGTGTGTGTGTGTTTGTGTGAGGGTCCTGTTAGTGTGCTGTGTGTGTTTGTGAGGGTCCTGTGAGGGTGCTGTGTGTGTTTGTGAGGGTGCTGTGTGTGTTTGTGAGGGTGCTGTGGGTGCTGAATGGCTCTGTGTGCGTGTGCTCTGTGCGTTGTATGTGGGTGGAGATGGGGGTACATTATTTGCTATCCCCCCTCCCTTCTTACCTTTTGTAGGGAGGGGGGGGATCGTGCTGCTGCTTCCTTCCCTGGTGGTCCAGTGGAGGAGGGGATCCTTGCTGCTGTGATCCCTGGTGGTCCAGTGGAGAGTGAACTCTAGTGGGGCTAGAGTTCACTCTCGCGAGATTTGAGCGTTGCCGCGGCAACGCTTATATCTCGCGAGAGGAACCCGGCGGAGCTGCTGGCAATAGCTCCGCCGGGTTCTCTCCTACCTCCCTCCCTGCATGTGGGTCAGTGGGGAGGGAGGCTGAGAGCAGAGCCGGTGCTCGGATAGCGCCGGCTCTGCATGAGCCGACAGGGGAGATCCTGAGATCTCCCCTGCCGTTCTCAATATACATAGGCGTGCCGCGGGGATTAGGGTGTGCCCAGGCACAACAGGCACACCCCGTGCGCACGCCTATGGGACTCTCCCCCAGTGTTGTTATGGTGCTTAGATTAACTCTAAGATTGCCCAGGACTATGTTCTAACACACTGTAGCCTGCCAAATACCTTACCTTCAATCTTTTCTTCTCCTCTGCTTTGATAGGGTTCCACTCCTCACCCTTGCGATATGCCTCTAGCTCGTCATCGGACGGTGCAAATTCCTGGATAGAGAGAAACAGAGTGCTGTGACCCTAAGACAAACTAGAATTAATGTGGCTACAGGAAAGGAGGAATCCTCTCTCACCTTTTTAAAAATCATAACATAGCGACTTTCTTCATCATCTCCGAATGAGAAGGATGTTAGGCCAGCAACCTCCACCACGTCATGACTGTAAGTGGAGGAAGAGACGATTAGAGAACGTAATCCACCAAAAGATAAGGAAGGATGGAGCGATACTCACAGAATGCTGCGCTCAATCTTGCTCATAGGATTAAACTTTCGCTTCGTCTGGGTGCTGTCCTGGATAAAATCAGAGATCTCTTTCTCCATCTGAAGGGTGAGAAAAACACCAGATATGGAGTGAAGAGAAAAAAAAACATCTGGACATTAAACAAGTTCAGAAGTAAATCGGTTTCTATTGGAACCGTAAAAAAACAAAACCTGGTTTATTGAAATCACCAGCATCGTTCATACAGTGCCTGCCCTATTCCCATTGCAGAGAAATTTTTTATGTTACGAACAACTCCAGGAAGTAGTTTACATAAACCAAAGAGCTTCCAGAGGTCAGTCTAGAATCCCTCAAAAAAAAAAAAAAAAAAAAAAAAAGAGAGGAGGAGTCTGCCAAAAGTAGATTGAATTATAAATAAAACACGCCCAATACACAGTAGCTCGGAACACTTCTCTGTAGGGCATGCAAACTCATTGGTGCAGTGTTTACTCTGTTGAAAGACTAATCTTAAACCAGGTGAAGCTAAGTGGACCTCGCGGAAGAAGATCGTGGTTGCTCCGAGGGACAGGATATGTGAATACATTGAAATTAAACATACAGAATATTGGGGAAATATTAAGATTTGATAAAAATCCACTGGGTTTGAATGTTCATGCCACACTTTCTAGTCTCGTATAAGCCACTTACGCGTTTTCGAAACTCCACTTTCTGTCTCTTCTCATGTTCTTGCATCTTCTTGAGCCGAGCAGCTTGCTCTGTAAAGACATCATGAAAAAAACACACAATTAATGAACGAACTTTGAAAACAATGTTAGAACAGTAAGGGATGGCCACATCCATCGTAAGTCCAACTCCATTAAAATAAATCAAACATAGGCATTACATGGTCATATGGACAGGATGGCCTTTGGCAAGTATGTGGCATTGGGCACCAGGGAATAGCTGGTAAATTGTGGCCTGAATGGCTCATCCAAGCAAATGACCTTTTTGTTAAATAAGTCTACTGCCCCACATTTGTATTTTATTTTTTTAAATATTACTGGCACCAGCATAGTTTTGGTATTTCTGCAGAATTTGTCACCTCTCTACTGCAGTATGTTTCCAAACAAACAAACTGTGGTGACATCCAACGACGTGTCCTCTTACTTCAGACTACTTCGCTTTTCGTATGTTAACCCACTGACCAGTTATCCTGCATTTCCTTGTGCAGCACCTACTGGTATAATTTCTGCCATTTCCACAGGCTTGCTCTTATTTATATTTCTTTGCATTGCTATCCCGCGATTTTCCCATACACGCTAGCTCTGCTTGCAATGAAGTTTTTTTAAACATTTGACAAAAAAAAAAAAAAAAGGTTTTAAAAAAATTACGTGGTCAGAGTTGACACCTCTAGTGGTCACAGGGCAGAAGTTAAATATACCTTCTCATTTCCTATCTCTCTTACGGTGTGACATCAGGGCAAGGTCTGTGTGCATATTTGTAAATAATTTGTTTATTATATACACATTTTATTTGTATGTACTGTATGTTTTATGTTAGTTGCAGGTGAGGGGCTTGTAGCTAGTTAGTTTGTGAGCCATTTATTTGTATGTTGGAGTATGTCTTTGTATAAATATTTGTTACAGTAGTGATATTTTATTAATAAAGGGTATTAACACCGGTAGATGAGAATGAGTAAAGAAGTGGCCAGTGGACCCAGGAACCCACACAAGTCACTAGATGTTTGGCCTTAAGTGAAACGGATGACGGAGTCCCGGCACTGTCAACTGGCTGGAAAATAGAGGAAGTCCGGACAGAGCACTATATACACTACTACAGTAAAATGGTATCGCATTCAGAAGAAAGCCTTAGTTGGGAAGTTACCAGAACATGATGTCCATGATGTGTAGAGATTCCGAAATAAGAGTAGATTTGTGATGCTTATTTTGCGGAACGTAACTGCTCTTCTAATCATCTTCCTCAGACGATGCCATAGACCAGGGATCCTTCGACATTCTAGAGGTTTTGGACTACACCTCCCATGATGCTATGTCAGTATTGTGGCTTTAAGAGCATTATGGGAGATGTAGTCCACAACATCTGGAGTGCCAAAGGTTGCCTACTCCTATCAGACCATGAAGAGTGAGACAGAGAAAGTACTTCAGCAAGGTTCTCTTGTGATTGATAGAAATTAACATATGTAAAAGGTCTATTTACTATGTGTACCTGTGCTCATTCATTACTTAAAATGGCTACTAGAGCACCCCCTCCCATCGACCAACACCCTCGCGTAACAAGATGGCATCTCCATCCGGAGCTAAACCTAAGATGATGACGACATCACACTTTGGAGGAAGTACATCAAGATAAAACACTTACACTTAGCCAATTAAAAGTTTATGCTTAATATTTGCACACTGTGCATTCTTTTGCCTTTAAGGGGCTGTGTCCGCCCCCAATAAACACTTAGAAGTCTTCATTTATCTGAACTTGTGGTCAGTGTGATTTCTTCCACGTGCACACATCTCATTTTAAGAATCTGGACAGGGGCAGATATTCAGGCAGACACTTGATCTGGTCCAAAACACTCTCTTGCTACCTCTTTGGAAATTTTGAGGTGGTTTTCTCTCCCTCCCTTTGTGTCATCATGGAAAGGTATTTGTGTTTAATGGAATCTTGCTGTAGGTGAGATCTAAGTGGATTTTGTGTGTTTATTTGGAATAGTGGGTTTGTTGCTCAAGTTCGTTTGAGTGACATTTGTTTGTGGGTACATATCTCAGAATATATATTTGCTAAAGGTGGACTAGAGTGATATTATTAGCCCCAACAAATTCCGCAGTGCTATACACAAGTACACGAGCTGGATGCACAAGAACAGAGTGATTGAGGGCTCTGCACAATGAGGTATAGTGACACAAGAAAGAGAAAACTAGGTTGCTAGGGATTATATTTTTTTTAAATATGATTTAATATGACCGTTGCAGGAGAGGAATCAGGTTGCGGGGTAGGAAAGTTGTTCACAGTTTAAATTGATACGCTTTCCTGACATTCAATTATTTTTTGGAAAGAATGGAGTGTGGTGAAAGCCACTTCACCACTGGGGTTTGGAGGGGACTACTTGCCAGCCTTTTACCCTGTGACTATGGCCCCTGTGATAAAACTTGGTTTAAATCACTGTTCGTGCCTTTTTGGATTCTTATGACCACAGTTCGAACTTTCGAAGTGGCACTTCAAAATCCCGAACAGTCGAACCATTCGAACACATCGTGGCCATCTTGTTCGCATGGACCAAAACCGCAAATAGACTTCAGGGGCACTTAGCCGCGAATGCCCTGGAACTATTTTCGGCATGAGAACCTTGTGGTTCCCAGTCGGTCCTCCAGCGGCACTTAGCCGCAATTCTATGGAACTGTTTTGGGCATGTGACCATACCTGCGCAAAACTATGACTTCCATAAGAATTCTGAACCCCTGATCTGATCTGGTCGATTTCTGGATAGGTTGTTCAGTAATATCAGTCAGTATCCCCCAGGTATCATCAGTAATATCATTCAGTATCCCCCAGGTATCATCAGTAATATCATTCAGTATCCCCCAGGTATCATCAGTAATATCAGTCAGTATCCCCCAGGTATCATCAGTAATATCAGTCAGTATCCCCCAGGTATCATCAGTAATATCAGTCAGTATCCCCCAGGTATCATCAGTAATATCAGTCAGTATCCCCCAGGTATCATCAGTAATATCAGTCAGTATCCCCCAGGTATCATCAGTAATATCAGTCAGTATCCCCCAGGTATCATCAGTAATATCAGTCAGTATCCCCCAGGTATCATCAGTAATATCAGTCAGTATCCCCAGGTATCATCAGTAATATCAGTCAGTATCCCCAGGTATCATCAGTAATATCAGTCAGTATCCCTAGGTATTATCAGTCAGTATCCCTAGGTATCAGTATTATCAGTCAGTATCCCTAGGTATTATCAGTAATATCAGTCAGTATCCCTAGGTATTATCAGTAATATCAGTCAGTATCCCTAGGTATTATCAGTAATATCAGTCAGTATCCCCAGGTATCATCAGTAATATCAGTCAGTATCCCCAGGTATCATCAGTAATATCAGTCAGTATCCCCAGGTATCATCAGTAATATCAGTCAGTATCCCCAGGTATCATCAGTAATATCAGTCAGTATCCCCAGGTATCATCAGTAATATCAGTCAGTATCCCCCAGGTATCATCAGTAATATCAGTCAGTATCCCTAGGTATCATCAGTAATATCAGTCAGTATCCCCAGGTATCATCAGTAATATCAGTCAGTATCCCCAGGTATCATCAGTAATAACAGTCAGTATCCCTAGGTATCATCAGTAATAACAGTCAGTATCCCTAGGTATCATCAGTCAGTATCCCTAGGTATCATCAGTCAGTATCCCTAGGTATCATCAGTCAGTATCCCTAGGTATTATCAGTCAGTATCCCTAGGTATTATCAGTAATATCAGTCAGTATCCCTAGGTATTATCAGTAATATCAGTCAGTATCCCTAGGTATTATCAGTAATATCAGTCAGTATCCCTAGGTATCATCAGTAATATCAGTCAGTATCCCCAGGTATCATCAGTAATATCAGTCAGTATCCCCAGGTATCATCAGTAATATCAGTCAGTATCCCCAGGTATCATCAGTAATATCAGTCAGTATCCCCCAGGTATCATCAGTAATATCAGTCAGTATCCCTAGGTATCATCAGTAATATCAGTCAGTATCCCCAGGTATCATCAGTAATATCAGTCAGTATCCCCAGGTATCATCAGTAATAACAGTCAGTATCCCTAGGTATCATCAGTAATAACAGTCAGTATCCCTAGGTATCATCAGTCAGTATCCCTAGGTATCATCAGTCAGTATCCCTAGGTATCATCAGTCAGTATCCCTAGGTATTATCAGTCAGTATCCCTAGGTATTATCAGTAATATCAGTCAGTATCCCTAGGTATTATCAGTAATATCAGTCAGTATCCCCCAGGTATCATCAGTAATATCAGTCAGTATCCCCCAGGTATCATCAGTAATATCAGTCAGTATCCCCCAGGTATCATCAGTAATATCAGTCAGTATCCCTAGGTATTATCAGTAATATCAGTCAGTATCCCTAGGTATCAGTAATATCAGTCAGTATCCCTAGGTATCAGTAATATCAGTCAGTATCCCTAGGTATCAGTAATATCAGTCAGTATCCCTAGGTATTATCAGTCAGCATCCCTAGGTATCAGTAATATCAGTCAGTATCCCTAGGTATCAGTATCAGTCAGTATCCCTAGGTATCAGTATCAGTCAGTATCCCTAGGTATTCTCAGTAATATCAGTCAGTATCCCTAGGTATTCTCAGTAATAGTCAGTATCCCTAGGTATTATCAGTCAGTATCCCTAGGTATCAGTAATATCAGTCAGTATCCCTAGGTATCAGTAATATCAGTCAGTATCCCTACACAATACCATCAAGTCAGTATCCAGGGTATTATCAGTATTACCTGTACAGGCATCCCTAGGTATCATCAGTACATCATCAGCATCCCCAGGTATCATCAGCAATATCAGTCAGCATCCCCATCAGTACACAGTCAACCCATCAGTAACATCATAATTCCCCAGGCATCACGTCAGTACACTAGCCAGTATCCCCAGGTAATCACTACACATCAGTCAGCATCCCCAGGTATCATCAGTAATATCAGTCAGCATCCCCAGGTATCATCAGTAATATCAGTCAGTATCCCCAGGTATCATCAGCAATATCAGTCAGTATCCCAGGCATCAGTACATTTGCCGCATCCTAGGTCAGTCAGTATCCCTAGGTATCAGTATTATCAGTCAGTATCCCTAGGTATTATCAGTAATATCAGTCAGTATCCCTAGGTATTATCAGTAATATCAGTCAGTATCCCTAGGTATTATCAGTAATATCAGTCAGTATCCCCAGGTATCATCAGTAATATCAGTCAGTATCCCCAGGTATCATCAGTAATATCAGTCAGTATCCCCAGGTATCATCAGTAATATCAGTCAGTATCCCCAGGTATCATCAGTAATATCAGTCAGTATCCCCAGGTATCATCAGTAATATCAGTCAGTATCCCCCAGGTATCATCAGTAATATCAGTCAGTATCCCTAGGTATCATCAGTAATATCAGTCAGTATCCCCAGGTATCATCAGTAATATCAGTCAGTATCCCCAGGTATCATCAGTAATAACAGTCAGTATCCCTAGGTATCATCAGTAATAACAGTCAGTATCCCTAGGTATCATCAGTCAGTATCCCTAGGTATCATCAGTCAGTATCCCTAGGTATCATCAGTCAGTATCCCTAGGTATTATCAGTCAGTATCCCTAGGTATTATCAGTAATATCAGTCAGTATCCCTAGGTATTATCAGTAATATCAGTCAGTATCCCCCAGGTATCATCAGTAATATCAGTCAGTATCCCCCAGGTATCATCAGTAATATCAGTCAGTATCCCCCAGGTATCATCAGTAATATCAGTCAGTATCCCTAGGTATTATCAGTAATATCAGTCAGTATCCCTAGGTATCAGTAATATCAGTCAGTATCCCTAGGTATCAGTAATATCAGTCAGTATCATCAGTAATATCAGTCAGTATCCCCAGGTATCATCAGTAATATCAGTCAGTATCCCTAGGTATTCTCAGTAATATCAGTCAGTATCCCTAGGTATTCTCAGTAATATCAGTCAGTATCCCTAGGTATTCTCAGTAATATCAGTCAGTATCCCTAGGTATTCTCAGTAATATCAGTCAGTATCCCTAGGTATTCTCAGTAATATCAGTCAGTATCCCTAGGTATTCTCAGTAATATCAGTCAGAATCCCTAGGTATTCTCAGTAATATCAGTCAGTATCCCTAGGTATTATCAGTAATATCAGTCAGTATCCCTAGGTATTATCAGTAATATCAGTCAGTATCCCTAGGTATCATCAGTAATATCAGTCAGTATCCCTAGGTATTATCAGTAATATCAGTCAGTATCCCTAGGTATCATCAGTAATATCAGTCAGTATCCCTAGGTATCAGTAATATCAGTCAGTATCCCTAGGTATTATCAGTAATATCAGTCAGTATCCCTAGGTATTATCAGTAATATCTGTCAGTATCCCTAGGTATTATCAGTCAGTATCCCTAGGCATCAGTAATATCAGTCAGTATCCCTAGGTATCAGTAATATCAGTCAGTATCCCTAGGTATCAGTAATATCAGTCAGTATCCCTAGGTATCAGTAATATCAGTCAGTATCCCTAGGTATCAGTAAGGCAGCCATTTTGCCCCTCCCCCATCACTATCAGACTAGGAGAGCTCTGAGGTGCACAGTAACAGGTCTCTTTAATATCGTTAACTGACATGATAAACAACCAATCACAGCACAGACATAGATTATGGTTCCTCGAACAGGCTTGAAGTACAGTAAGGGAGACAGCCAATCACATGCTCCAACGTCAATACGTCAGATCATTAAACATTGTCATCAGCCAATCAGAGAATAATAATACTCAGCGCTATAGGTGGAGACCGTATCCAGGAAATGGAACGTGTGGAAGAATGGGCCAATCAGAGGAGAGCGCTGAGGAATCGCGGCCGCTGATTGGCTGGCTGCCCGGCGCCGTTTGCCGTGTTTCTCGGAGGGGCAGTGAATCTACCGGCGGTGATTACCGCGCCCTCGCTGTCCCCGCCCCCTCCCGCAGCCCCGCCCCCTCACCGCACTCACCGCGGGCCTTGCGCCGGGACTCCTGGTCTCCGACCTGCGGCGGCCGCTCCATGGAGCTGAGTATCGAGCCCAGCAGGTCCGCCATCTTGGAATGAGCCAGCGGGGGCGCGCGGGGGACTCGGGCACGCGCGGCTCTTAAAGGGGAAACCGGTGGGCCCCGCCTCTCTTAAAGCGGCAACGCCTCCAACACGGCCATTCACTAAACTGCGAGTTACCAACCGCGCCTCCACTACTACTGCAATCCCCGCCTCCACTACTACTGCAATCCCCGCCTCCACTGCTACTGCAATCCCCGCCTCCACTACTACTGCAATCCCCGCCTCCACTACTACTGCAATCCCCGCCTCCACTGCTACTGCAATCCC